AGCCCGATGCGGGACTCGATCCCAGGACCCTGGGATCATGACCTGAGCCGAAGGCAGACGCTTAACCATCTGAGCCACCCAGGCGCCCCCTTATTTATTCATTTTAGAGAGAGCATGTGCAATCGGGGACGGGGCAGAGGGAGAGGCAGAAAGAATCTGAAGCAGACTCCGCACTGATCACGGAGCCTGATGCAGGGCTCAATCCCACCACTGCGAGATCATGACCCTAGCTGAAACCAAGAGTTGGATGTTTAACCGACTGAGCCACCCAAGTGTCCCATTATTAATTTTCATTCTTTAAAAACTTTTAAGTTTTTTTTTAAATTTTAAATTTTATTTTTTTAATTAAGTTTTTAATTTTAATTCCAGTATAGTTTACATACAGTGTTATATTAGTTTCGGGTATACAATATAGTGATTCAACAATTCTATACATTACTCAGTGCTCATCAGGATAAGTGTACTCTTTAATCCCCTTCACCTATTTCACCCATCCCCCCACCAACTTCCCCTCTGGTAACCATCAGTTCTCTATAGTTAAGAGTCTTTTACTTGGTTTGTCTTTTTCGTTTCTTAAATTCCACATGAGTGGGGGTGCCTGGGTGGCTCAGTTGGTTAAGCCACTGCCTGCGGCTCAGGTCATGATCCTGGAGTCCCGGGATCAAGTCCTGCATTGGGCTCCCTGCTCAGCGGGGAGTCTGCTTCTCCCTCTGACCCTCCCCTTCTCAAGCTCTCTCTCTCTCTCATTCTCTTTCTCAAATAAATAAATAAAATCTTTAAAAAAAAAAAATTCCACATGAGTGAAATCATGTTACTTGTCTTCTCAAACAGACTTATTTCATTTAGCCTTATACTCTTTAGCTCTATTCCTGTCATTGCAAATGGCAAAATTTCATTCTTTTTTATGGCTGAATAATATTCTATTGTACATCTATCCCACATCTTCTGTATCCATTCATTTGTTGATGGACACTTGGGCTGCTTCAATAATTTGGTTATTGTAAATACTGCTGCAATAAACACAGAGGTGCATGTATCCCCTTTGAATCAGTGTTTTTGTATTTTGGGGGTAAATACCCAGAAGTGCTATTACTGGATCACTTTCTTTTAAAATTAATAATATAAGCACTCAGGCTATTAATTTTCCTGAGTATTGCTTTAATGATATACCATAGGTTTTGCTATGCAATATTTTCATTAATTTTAATTTTTAAAAAAAATTTTATTTAGTTGAGAGACCACGAGAGGGGGGTCAGAGGGAGAGCAGACTTCCCACTGAGCAGAAAGCCTGATACAGGGCTCAATCCCAGGACCCTGGGATCACGACCTGAGTCGAAGGCAGATGCCCAACTGACTTAGCCACCCAGGTGCCCCAATTTTAATTTTTTTAAAGATTTTATTTATTTGTTTGACAGAGAAAGAGACAGCCAGAGAAGGAACACAAGCAGGGGGAGTGGGAGAGGGAGAAGCAGGCTCCCCGCCGAGCAGGGAGCCGGACGTGGGGCTTGATCCCAGGACCCTGGGATCACGACCCGAGCTGAAGGCAGACGCCCAACGACTAAGCCACCCAGGTGCCCCCCCATTTTAATTTTTAAAGAATCCACAATCTTAGCTTTGTTTACTTTTTGACCTATGAGTTATTTAAAATTTATGTTTAGGGCGTCTGGGTGGCTCAGTTGGTTAAGCAACTGAGCAGGGAGTCTGCTTCTCCCTCTGATCCTCCCCACTCTTGTGCTCTCAAATAAATAAAATCTTTAAAAAAAAATAAAATTTGTTTAAAAAAATTTCCAAGTAGCTAGATCTTGCTTTATTTTTGATTATTCATTTCTAGTTTTACTACTCTGTGCTCAGCAAACATGACCTGTACAGTTTTTGTTTTTAGAAACTCAGTTCCTTCCAGGGCGCCTGGGTGGCTCAGACAGGTTGAGTGTGTGCCTTGAGCTTGGGTCATGATACCAGGATCCTGGGATTGAGCCCTGCATCGAGCTCCCTGCTCAGCGGGGAGTCTGCTTCTCCCTTTCCTCACGCAGCCATTCCCTGCTTGTGCTCTCTATCACTCTTTCTCAAATGAATAAATAAAATCTTAAAAAAAAAAAAAAGAATTTGAATTCTTCCCTTCTCCACTATACAAACTTGTTATTTTTTGGATTACCCATATGTGACCAAATTCCTACTGTAAGAATTTAAACCATTACAGAAATATAAAGACCTTCCACTCTCTAACCCTTAAATCTATTCTCTTCTACAAAGATAACCACTTTAAAAAGTTTCGTATGGGGGCGCCTGGGTGGCTCAGTCATTAGGCATCTGCCTTGGGCTCAGGTCATGATCCTGGGGTCCTGGAATCGAGTCCCACATCGGGCTCCCTGCTCTGCGGGGAGCCTGCTTCTCCCTCTCCCACTCCCCCTGCTTGTGTTCCCTCTCTCACTGTGTCTCTCTCTGTCAAATAAATGAATAAAATCTTTTAAAAAAAGAAAAGTTTAGTATGTTTTCTTGCACACCTTTTTAGGATGTATTTATATAGAAACTTACATATACAATAAATGGTTTTTTGCTGTACTCAGTACTATATATTATTGTTCTGCAACTGGCTTTAAATTTTTTTTTAATTGTATGTCTTGACTGTTTCATGTCAAACACATTTTAATTCTTTAAACTCAGAAGCTTTCATTGTAATACAGGTCTAAAAAGGATTGTTCATTTATTTTTACCTTGTTATTTCATAAACCTTTAAATTTGAGGGCTGGGCGCCTGGGTGGCTCAGTTGGTTAAGCGACTGCCTTCGGCTCAGGTCATGATCCTGGAGTCCCGGGATCGAGTCCCGCATCGGGCTCCCTGCTCGGCAGGGAGTCTGCTTCTCCCTCTGACCCTCCTCCCTCTCATGCTCTCTGTCTCTCATTCTCTCTCTCTCAAATAAATAAATAAAATCTTGAAAAATAAATAAATAAATAAATAAATTTGAGGGCTAAACTTAAGTCTTAAATTTAAATTTTCCCATCAACTTAGTAAATTTTCTTTTATTATTTCTTTGATTCCTGCTTCTCCTCAGTCAGTTCTTTTATCACCTTCTGGAACTTCTATTTTATTATTAGTTTTCTGGATCCATTCTCCATGTCTTCTATTCTTGTCTCTCATAGTTTTATATTATATTTTCCCCTCTGAGTTCTGGTAAATTCTCTTGAGCTGGGCAAACTTTTGACATATCTCATCTGCAGTACAGAGACTGTTGCATTAATTTGGCAATCATGTTTTTCCTAAGAATTTTGTTCAGATTATTTTTCCATCTTTTGAAAAAAAAATTGATGTAATGTCCTAACTTCAAAGTTAAAACGTATTAGTTTTGGGGTGCCTGGGTGGCTCAGTCAGTTGAGCATCTGCCTTTGGCTCAGATCATGATCCCAAGGTCCTGGCACCCAGCCCCTCATCCAGCTCCCTGGTCAGCTGGGAGTCCGCTTCTCCCTCTGCCCCTACCCCCACTCCTGCTCTCTCTCAAATAAATTTAAAAAAGAATTATAGTTTTTAATATTTCTTCCTATTTCATTCGTATGTTTTAAAGATTGCCATTTGCTCTGACCACTCAAATTAATCTTCTTTTGAAACACTGAATCTTTTCACATATCTATTGACTTTATCCATCTGCTTAGCCTTTGGTGGCAAAATGTGTATCACATAATAGGGACTGAACGAGTTCTGTCAGAGATTGTTCCAATCTTTTAGACCCAATCTAAGGAAAATTATTGGTAACTATTCTTTGATGGTGTAGAGGTCCAATAGACTGTATGGGATTGGTAAGGAGCAACAGGTGGAGGGAAGCAGCCTTGGGGGAGGGAAGCAGCCTTGGGAGAGGGAGTTTCACACAGTTCTGAACAGGGGCTCAGGAACAAGAAGTTAAAGTACCAGTCTTCTGATGCAGTTACATTTTAAAGATGTAAAAAACAAAACAACCACCACAGATCCAGGGAAGTCAAGTAATTTTTCCAAGAATCCACAATGATACAGAACTTCCCAAGTCGACTTACAATACCTCTTGATTTACTTCCACACAACCTTCCCTCAGCAAGAGCCAACTTTACTGTATTTTTTTACAGAAAGAAAAGTCGGGGGGTGGGGAAAGTCAGGGGTCTTGGGGATGTAGTCCGCCATAAAGGAAAAGACTGATACTCTGATACTTATCCACTGTGTCACCTTGGGCAATTTGCTACGCTTCTCTAGGATTCAGTTTCCTCATCTAAAAAACAGATGGGGAAGACGGATAATAACTGCTCTTACAAGACCTTTAAGATCCTCAAGTAAAAGCCTGGGGCGCTAGTCCGGGCCTGTGGCGGGAGACCCTGGCCTAAGATGACTGGAGGCGGCCGGGTTGTGGGGTGTCTCCGTCAGCCCGAACCCCAGACCAGCACGAGTGTCCTCGATGGCCACCACTGCAGCAACAGCAGCCACCGCCGCGAACGCCCGCGTCGCCTGGCCTGCCTTGGCCGGGCCTCTCCTCACCTCACAGGCGCCGCGTTCCCAACTCCAGCCTCAGCTCACCTTCCCGACCACACCTCTGCGCACGCGCAGCGCCCGCCTCCCCCGCTCTCTGGAGCCGCGGAACTTGCGTTCAGAGATTTTCCTCCCAGTGCGGCCACCGTCGTTAGGGGAGGAAGGCGGGAGGGGGCGGGGACACGGGTGGGAGGTGGGTAAGCGCGCGCACCGCCCGTCCGTCGTGGTTTCCTGGCTGCGCGCGGCGGTGGCGGAGTGGCTGCAGCTGTAGCAGCAGCCGCGAAGATGGCGGAGGGGTTGGAGCGTGTCCGGATCTCCGCGTCGGAGCTGCGAGGGATTCTGGCTGCTCTGGCTCCGCAGGCCGGGAGCAGAGGTGGGTCGCGCCGCCCAGCTCCTGGGCCGGGCCTGCCCGCCCCGCCTCCCTCTCCTCCTCTGCCTCCTCCCTGCTCAGTCCGCGGTGCTCCTGAGCCCCCGCCCCTTCCCCAGCAGTGGGTGCGGGGGCCGAGGGCCGTCCCCTGGCCGCCCCACCAGCCCGAGGACCAGTGTGGAATCGGGCTCGGCCAGCCCCGGCCCCCTCCGGGAGAGCCCGACCCGAGTTCCTGAATCCGCCCCCTTTCTCACAGCGAAGGTGACTGTTCCCCATTGCCCCAGCCTTCTCAGAGCAGTTTGTGATTCCCAGTCGTCAGGAGACGCGGCGAGAAGCGGGTGCTGGGGTCTGGGGGAGGCCCCGGGATCTATCGTTCCCAGAGGAATCATCCGCATGCCTTCCCTGTCATCTCTTTAGAGTTGTAGAGAAGGAGCTGGGGAAATCGAGGAGAAAGATTGAACAGCTTGGGACTTCCTTGCTGAACTTTTTCCCCCAAGGCAGGGTTCTGAAGTTTGCGCCACCGGAGAGATCCAGGACCTCCGGTAGAGAGCTGACTCTATTCTGGTTTGCCTTTGGCATATGTGGGAGCAGTTTTTATCAGAGAGAATGCTCATCTTGCAAATTAAAGTCTCCATCCACACCAGGAAAGCTCCAAGGAAGATTCTAGTATCTCCTCTCTCCTTTGTTAGGTGGTGGAGTTGTGTAGAATGGTAGTTGTGCTTCTGCAGGCTTGTGGCCAAAGTCTGTGAAATTGGTTTTCGTTGGTCAGTTGAATGGGATTATTCAGGGTGTTTTCTCCCTCTGCTCTGAGTAGTAGTAGCTTTTCTCATTCCTCCTCCCCACCTCTAACTTAAGTTACAAAGGCTCCTGAGGGTGAGTTATTCTGGAGGTAAGCTGCTTTGCCTTTATTTGCACTTGAAGAAATGTTTTTTTAATAAAGCTTTTGAAAATACTGAGGCAGAGGCTTTGTGTTTTTGCGTCTTTCTGTTTTGTTACACCTATGAGTTAAATGCTGGAGGATATTATTTATTCCTGTTATGGGCTTGTTTGTATTGGTGTTTACAGAACAATACTAGGATTTTATAAAGCATTCTGTTTTGAGTACTCTATAATCTCAGTAATTGCTGTCAGTTTCCCATTGACAAGTTTAGTGGCTATTTGTAGTAGTCTCTCCCCTTAATAGGTAAAGGTAACAGATACAAAAAATAGATACTTGCTTATCTGTCATTCAGTAAGTTTAGGGAGCCTGGAGAGTAGTTTCGAAAGTCCTGTACCCTTATTTTTAAGTACTACAGTCCTTGGTATTTTGAGAGCATGTCACAATACTTCCATCATCCTCCAGAGAAAGCTCCTTTATGGAACTTTTTCCTTCTCATATTCCACATCATAGTAGCAGTTAGTCGCAGTATTCTAATGATAGTCTGAGCAGTATTTCCTTGGAATGACTGCTGGCTGCTGTTAGAGAGTTGGTGAGCATGAGTGGAGTTGAAGAATGTGAAAGGAACTGCTTCCTGTTTGCTTCAATAAGAGGTATGTGTTTGGGCAATTGGTATCCTAAAAGAAGAGGATTGTCCTGGTCAAGTTCAGAGACTGGAGTTGCATATTTTTCCCCCCCAGAGATGTCCAGAACTGTGGATTGTTTTGCATACCCCTCTTTTTCTCCTTTATCCCCAACTACTACTACTATGTTAAAAAGGGATTAGCCACCCTGGAAAAATGTTAGAAGCACTAGAAGAAAAGACTAAAATGGATCCAAGGGCTCTATAGCAGAGAACAGTTTGATGTTCAAATAGTTAGAGCTCTTTTATTCTGGCAATGATAAGGTAGTTTGAGGTCTTGGACATCTGGATATGACTTGGGTAACACAAGAGAGTATGTTGTTGTTGTTGTTACTGTTTTTCCTATTTCCCTAAGTGTAGATAGCTCTAACATAATGAAGTTCTTAGCCTTGCCAATTGCTAAACAAGTACTGTAAACCTAGTAGAATTTCTGCTGCTTCAGAAATTTCCTTCCATGTTCGCCAGTATTAGCATTTCGATGTGTTGTTTTTGCTTGGCTTTTCTGTTATTTAACCAGAGTGACAGTTTTTTTTCCTTCCCTCCCCTTTTATTCTTTTCTTCTACTTGTTCCTTTCTTCTACCTGTTCCTCCCCAACACTCTCTCCAACATCATAGAAAACATGAAGGAGCCCAGGCAGCGCAGAGATAACCGGCGCCCAGATCTGGAAATCTATAAGCCTGGTCTTTCCCGATTGAGGAACAAACCTAAAATCAAGGAACCTTCTGGGAGTGACGAATTTAAGGATGAAATTATTAACGACAGGGATTCCTCTGCTGTTGGAAATGGTACACAGGTCATTAAAGATGTCTGCAAGGAACTGGATAACCAACATCAAAATGGTCCTGTAGACCCAGAAAATATTGGGGCACAGGAGTCCTTTCCTAGCACTTCTGGACAAGAGGATCGAAGTCTAAGAATTATCAAGAGAACAAAGAAACCTGACATGCAGATCTACCAGCCTGGAAGGCGTTTGCAGACTCTTACCAAAGAATCGACTAGCAGAGTGGGTGAGGAAGAAATCCTCAACCAGGTGGAGCAATTGAGAGTAGAAGAAGATGAGTATAGGGGAAATGTGAAAGAGGAGGTCATGAATAAACCAGACAAAGAAGAGGCAGAAAAAGGCCTAAATGGTGACAGAATAAGGGCTGCAAAGGGAGAAAAAGGAAAGAGGATTGAGAAGGGGGAGGGGATAAAGAAAGTGACCGATGACCTGGCACAGGGGAAGCCGGGTTCAGCAAAGCGCTACTCCCGCTCAGACAAACGAAGGAACCGCTACCGCACTTGTAGTACCAGCTCGGCTGGCAGCAACAACAGCGCTGAGGGGGCTGGCCTGACTGATAGTGGATGTCGCCGCCGCCGACAGGATCGGACCAAGGAGAGGCCACGACTGAAGAAGCAAGTATCTATGTCCTCAACTGACTCTTTAGATGAGGACGGAATCGATGAGCCCGATGGGCCCAGGAGGAGCTCGGAAAGGAAGAAACATTTAGAAAGAAGCTGGTCTGGCCGTGGGGAGGGAGAGCAGAAAATTAATGGGAAAGAAAATCGAGGCACTCTTCGTGTCACTTTTGATGCAGAAACCATGAACAAAGATTCCCCCTTCGTGAGATCAGCCAGGGAGGATGTGGATAGGATAAAGCTTGACAAAGGCCTGAGCAGTGGGGGCAAAGGCTCAGAGAAGCAGGAGTCCAAAAACCTGAAACAAGAACTTCGAGGCCGTGGTCGTGGCATTCTGATTCTGCCTGCACATACCACCCTATCTGTCAGTTCAGCCGGTTCTCCAGAATCTGCACCTTTGGGACCTCGGCTTTTATTTGGATCTGGTAGTAAGGGATCTCGGAGTTGGGGCCGAGGAGGCACCACTCGACGATTATGGGACCCAAACAATCCTGATCAGAAACCTGCTCTAAAGAGCCAGACGCCCCAGCTACATTTCTTAGACACTGATGATGAAGTCAGCCCTACCTCTTGGGGTGATTCCCGCCAAGCCCAAGCATCTTACTATAAGTTTCAAAACTCTGACAACCCCTATTATTACCCCCGGACACCAGGCCCTGCCTCTCAGTATCCTTATACGGGCTATAGCCCTCTGCAGTACCCTGTGGGCCCTACAAATGGTGTGTACCCCGGGCCTTACTACCCAGGCTACCCAACTGCATCAGGACAGTATGTCTGTGGCCCCCTCCCTGCCAGCACCATGAGTCCTGAGGAGATGGAACAGCACATGAGGAACATGCAGCAGCAGGAGCTACATAGGCTTCTCCGGGTGGCTGACAACCAGGAACTGCAGCTCAGCAACCTGCTCTCCAGGGACCGCATCAGCCCTGAGGGTCTGGAGAAGATGACCCAGCTCAGGTGTGCTGTGTTCCGTCCTAGAGGGACGTGGGGGTAAGCTGGAGGTGGGTAGGCTCCTGTGGTGGAGGAGCATAGAAACTGTTTTGGCAGGGCACTGGGCATTAAATCCCTTTCACATTGATTTTTATAAGGAAGGAGCAGTTGGAAAAAAGAACAGAAAATTTGGTTTCTTGTCTTAGAAATGATTATGCTTCCCACTTTTTCTTTAAGAAAAAAAATCTTTAAGAGAACATGGAATCTGGAAATGGAAAAGGAAAGACTTTCCAGAATGCCAAGAAGTGAACAACATATAACTTGTGGTGAAGATCTTATTTCAGCTGTTAAATTTAGGTGGAGGCATATGGGGAAAAATCATTTTCCTAGACATAACTGTCTTTAGAATGACATTCTGCTGTGCAGAATAAAAAGTCAAATGAGTACTATACCTGGTGGCATTTTGGATTTCCTGCCAAGGAAGGTGTTTAATTTGCAAGAAGCTCAGATCTTGAGTTTAGCCTTTCTTATGGTGTATTTGGAGCTAGAAGTTGCATGTATTTTATTCCAGAGCTGAACTGCTGCAGCTATATGAGCGCTGTATCCTATTAGATATTGAGTTCTCTGATAATCAGAATGTGGATCAGATCCTGTGGAAGAATGCTTTCTATCAGGTGATTGAGAAGTTCAGGCAGCTTCTCAAGGATCCAAATGTTGAGAACCCCGAACAGATTCGGAACAGACTTTTGGAGCTCTTGGATGAGGTAAACCATCATCTTTTTGTCCTCAGGATAAAGGCTTTAGCATTCTGTAGTTGTGATGGGTTTTTATCACCTGTAATATGATGATTTATAGCAGAACATTGACTAAAAACTTGATGCTCTTTTCTTGGGTTTAGGCCTAACCCACCCTATTGCATCCTTGGGACCATAACTTATTGGCAATTGGAGTTAGTTCTGACCTTGAAAATTTTCTGAATGTCTTGTTTGGGGGTGGGTGCTGTGGGGGGAGAAAGTGTGTATGGTGTGTGTCTGTGTATGTGTGTGTGTGTGTGTATTCATAGTTTTAAAACCATGGAGGGGCTCATACTATGAATTTGTCTTGTGTTTAGTTGGTGATCACTAAATACTGTGTATGCCTCTCTTTACATGGGATGACTAAACATTAGCAGAACTGTGGACAGGTTACTTGCCCCAGTTTCTGGTGGGTAGATTGGATCAGAACAGTCTGATTCAGCTGTTTCTTATTTTTTGTCTTTATAGGGTAGTGACTTCTTTGATAGTTTGCTTCAGAAGCTGCAGGTTACTTACAAGTTCAAACTGGAGGACTACATGGATGGTCTTGCCATTCGCAGCAAGCCATTACGCAAGACAGTAAGCCAGCTTCTTTATCTTAAATTTAATCATCCATTTAGTAAGCATTTGTCTAGTGTTATGTGCTAGGCACTATGCTAAGTGTTGAGGATACAAAACAAAAGATACAGTCCAGTGGGGGAACAGACCAATTAAACCTGCAATTATCATGTAATAAGTACCATGGTAATGTTATATATACAGTGTGGAAGGGGCACAGAGTGAAATGGCTCTGATTCCGACTGGTGGAGTCAAGGGAGACTTCTGAGAGACTGTCAAGTCTTGAAACCTGACTAGGAGTGGAAGGGGCAGTACAGAGCACAGCAAGAGAGAATCAGGCCTTGTTGGAAAGTGTAAGAAGTTCAATATGCTGGTTTTTGTAATGTGGAGTTGGGGTGTTGTAGGAGGTAAAGCTAATGAAGTAGAAGGGGATAGATCAAAAACTTTTGTATGGCATACTGAAGAGTTTGGACTTTATTCTGAAAGCAGCGAGGAGCCATGGCTTGATTTTCACTAAATGGATAGCATAGATTTCTTCTTAGAACCAGTCACTGGCAAATGGATGATTTTGGGCAAGAGAGTGGAGGTAGGAGGGTCAGGTTGAGGGCCTGAACCTAAGGTAGAGGTAGTGGAGGTGGAAAAGAGGAGACAAATTGGAAAGATATAAGGGAAATAGAATTGACTTGCTGGCTGATTTGGTGTGAATGATGAGATAGGAGGCATAAGGAGTCTCGATCATCTCCCAGTTTGTGGCCTAGGAGAGTGGCTGGGAAGGAAGAGGTTAGTTTAGTTTTGGCTGTGCGTAAGTAGAGGAACTTGAAAATGAACAGATGAATATTCTGGTCTGTTTGAAGCTCAGGGGAAAGAGCTAAGCTGGTGCTATAGATTCAGAAGTCATCAGTGTGTAAGTGATAGTTGAAGCAGAAGTTGGGATCCTGGGATACTGGCCAGTCAGCCAGAGAGTGAGGGGTGGGGATCAAATTTCAAGGTGGTGGTGGGCAGAATTGTCAAGTGCTGTAGAGTCAGCGAATGCTGCTATTACTGAAAGTGCCCATTGGATTGGATGAGCTTATCACAATTTATTTCAGTTGGAGAGGATGGAAGACAGATTGCAGAGAATGAAAAGTGGGACAGTAGATACAACGAAGGGAGTAATATAGACCATCCTTTTAAGAATCTTGGCTGTGAAGGCAAGGAGGGAAGATAGTAGTTAAAAGAGAACATAGTGTCAAGAGAAGTTTGTTTTTAAGCTGGAAGAGTCTTAAGCATATTTATATATTGAGAGGAAAGGGCCAGGGTAAAGGAAGAAGTTAAATAAAGATTCATTAGAGAAAGGCATATGATTTATGGAGCAGAGACTTCCTCTTGTCTTTCTACTCCTGATGATTGGTGTGCACAAACTCTATTACTAATCAACAAGTATTTATTGAGACCCTCCTACATGCCACATGTCTTTCTAAGACACATAATTCATTGTGGAACAAGAAAGCCATGATCCCAGCTCTTGGAGTTTAGAGTTTGCTTAGGGGTGAATACAGGTGGTGGATTAGTAATTGCAGATGCAGCAACTTCTGCAAAGGATGTTGTGGTGGGGTATAAGGTAAAGGGGTTTAGAGGATCATGGAAGACTGAGGAAGTCAGTTAAGGTGGAGCTAAAAATCTGAGATGTTAGCCAAGTGAAGGTGTATGTGAAGATGCTAGAACATTCTATGGAGAGGAAGTAGTATATGTGCAGGTTCTGAAGCTGGAAAGAGCATGGTGTGTTAGGGAGACTAAGAAAAGTCTAGTCTGACTGAGGTACAGAGAGAGAGGGGGGAGGTGGTGCTGCAGAGGTAAACAGAAGCTAGATCATCTGGGACTTCATCCAGAGGATAGTGGAGAGCCTTTGGTGGAATTTGTTTTTTTCTTCCCCCCATTGAGATAGTAGAGTGCTGTAGTATGTTTCTTTTTTTTTTTTTTAAAGATTTT